GCTAAACTACTAAACAAACAAACTAAAAACCTTAGCCTGAGATTATAATTTTGAATCCACAGTGAACAAATTAAGAGGAGTGTGTGTGTGTGGGGGGGGGGGCATCTACAATTAACGTGAATTGTAATGCACATTTTAGATCTGCCTAATATTATAATTTTGAATCCACAGTGAACAAATTAAGAGGAATGTGGGGGAGGGGGTATCTACAATTAACGTGATTTATAATGCACATTTTAGTCTGTTTCATTTCTGTGTATTATTGCAATCTATATTAAGTTAAAATCGAGTTTTATGACAAACTGTAGTACTATATTATGGCCAATGCATGTTTTTGGTTGCTTTCGTGGTCGTCTTTAAGACAAACTATTTTTGAGCACACTTGGATTATCTACTATCGAGCTGTTAGTTATGTAGATACAAGGTTTTTTTTTATTCATGTACTTTACATGCTCTATGTAAATACATTTTCACATTTGTATTAGGTTTTAACGCCTCGTCTGTAATTGATTTTTTGATCATTTTAATATTCTTGTGTTTTGTTCGAGACAAATAGCTTAAAACTTAGTATAAAAAGAAACACATGTATTCCCATTTGTAGTTTAAATATTTATACATAATTCTTTGTAATTAATTTGCGATGTCGTTTTTTTTCTTCATGTATCTGTTCTTCACTCACAGTAAGTTATATGTATAAGACCTAGATTATACATGTATAATAAAAAATTAATTTTATAAAGACAAGTAGGGATCGATATATACGTTACCTAGCTAGCTATAGTAATATAGAAAGTTTTAATGCCACAAAAAGTATGGAAACAAGAAAGCCAAAACTACAAAAACTGAGTTATTTAAAATGAAAACAAAAAATCTCTACTTTGGCAAATCACTATAATTATGTTAGTCTGAGTCAAAGCAGAAATATAAATCTTGAAATTTTAAGTAACTCAGTTTTGTAGTTTTGACGTTCTTGTTTCAATATTTTTTGTAGCATTAAAATCAACTTTCTATATTACTATAGCTAGCTAGGTTAAGCACATATCGATCCCCGCTTGTCTTTATAAAATTTACAATTTTTTTATTATTATTCTTGTTTGTTTCCTTTTTGTTAGCTATATTTTTGTGCGCCAGCAATACCAAGTGTGGGGCGCACGTATACCCACTTCGATTTTATTAGTCATCAGGATCTCTACTAACCTACCCTTAAATGAATTTTCATCTAAGTAAATTACTTTTCCAGACAAGCGTACAAAAAAAAAAAAAGACGAACCTTATCGCTCTAATTTCTTCACAGAACTCTTCCGTCTGTGGTCCCAATAATTCATTTCTTGTACCGAGAAGGATAGTAGTGTGTATGTGTGTGTGAGTGTGTGTATATATATAAACGGAAGATGCCCTGCTTTGGGCACATAATTAGGTTGAAGTGAAATTTGATTCACTCCTTAAACACGTATGTAGCGATTTAGGCGGCTTTGTAAGTACAATAAGCTTTAGTTTTGCTCAGCTAATACTGTGAAATAGTCACTTTTAATATTTAGACATTTTAAGGGTGGTTTTAAACGGACGATGTTTATGGTCGCCATTTTGTTTCATCACGATTCCTGCTATTAAGTATACTACAGTACTTAATGATAGTACACCTCTGGGTGCTAGGGCTAACCGCTTAGGTTAAGGAATAACTATTAGGACTGCGTTTAAAACGTCATCACATATCGTGGCGCATAGATTAAGGAGTTGAGCTGTCAGAAGTAGGGTGTATTATAATCAACAGATCATCTGTACTTAGGTGCTGCTTGGGTTAAAGGGTTACCTGTTAGGACTGTATTTTAAACGTCATCACATATCCCGTGTAATTACGTACCACATAGGTTAAGGAGTCGAACCTGTCAGATGTAGGATGTGGTATAATCTGTAGATCACATGTACTTGGGTAACGCTTATATGAAGGTGGTAGCTCAATAAGAAATAGATGGTATTATAACCAGTAGATTACATATGCTTAGAACCGCTGAAGTTGGGTTACAGTTAGACGTTGGTGTAAAGACTAAAACAAAATAGGCAGTGTACATATGTGTGTACCACTTAGAGACTTAGATTGAGGGGTATAACTTTTATAACTATTGTATAATAAATACCAGCGTTTTTTTGAATACCTTAACTAAGAAATGTGCGAGGAGAAGCATTCATTTATAAGCTGGACATGAAAAACGAGCATACATGTACAGAATTATCTCCATTCAGGTAAAATATGATATCGATTTATATATAGTACTAGAAATAATCGTGTGGATAATTAGATGATACACACACACACATGAATCACAAACAATATGTAATTGCAACCAAGTAGTCGTATTATTAGTACAATACATTATTTCAACAAATATCAAAAAGGTAACTTGTACAATGCACCAGTATGTCTTTTTTTATGCTACCATAACTTTGTCAATTTAGGATTGTAAAATATTGTTCCGAATCTCCTATATTACTCCCCACAATTCAGCAAGTTGTTTGATTGTAGTTTTACTGTACCAGTTTTTTCATATAAACCCATACAGCCTTAATAGTATTTATATTCGGACTTTGTGTAGGCCAAGCCATGGTTGGGAGTGTTCCATCGGTCTTCTTTTCCTTACATTTGTCGTTTCATCACTTTTGCTGCATGCTTGAGATCACTATCTTGCTGAAACTGAATTGCTATCCAACAGGTCTTGTTATTGAGGGAATAACACGATGGATAAGAATCTGTTTGTACATACCATCAGTTAAGATACGATCAATATTGTTTAGTTTCAGAACCACTGACTAAGATGCAGTCATCACTTGTATCGGTCGACTAGCATGCTTCACTCTTTACGTTTTATGTTTACAGTAATGTTGTTGTTTTTCTTCATGCTATCGAAGAAAATTTAATTGAACGTTACCAGATAGCTTGAATATGGATTCATCTGTAGAGAGCATCCAGGACTAACTTTGCTCATCCCATTTGTTGAAGTCTGATGCTCATTTCAGCCTTTTGGTTTGGTTATATCTTCTAAAAAAAGTGTTTTTAGGCAGCTATACATTCATATGAGGCCATTTCATACTAATGTGTATCTGACTGTTCTAAAGGTGACACTTAAACCTGTATTTACAGCTAGGTCATTGGCAAGATCTCTGCTGTATTATCATGTTTCAAATAAAAAGCATGTTCTGAGTTATTTACTTTTTACTTTTGAATATTTTGGGCTTTCTACCTCTATGGCTTCTGTTGTTTTCAACAACACTAGTTTCTCGTATCCTATTCAGAGTTTCTATACAGCTCGTACTGAAACATAAAATTTTACCTCAAACTATGGCATGGAGCAGCCTTCATCAGCCCAAAACTTTGATTTCTGCACTTTTTTTCATGTGCCATTTTCTCCTGGGAAACGTTAGTGCAATAACAACACTACTGTTGCAAATAATAATAGATAATATGATATTGGCATTGTCTGATTGGACGGAAGGCAGACACTCATAGTGTAAACTTTCAACACGTGCAGTTCGTATTCATCAAGTTGAAGGGGGAGAAATATCTGCGACTTATCTTATTCACTGTTTTGCTAATCATTTCCAATACTGTATATCGCTTAGTAATATGGCAGGGACGCTAAAGTAATGATCTGTTTATCATACTACACCCTGTTTACGAAAGTTCGACTCTGAGTTATGCAGTATAAAGTACGCATGATCTGTGGTAACGTTTCGACCCTAGTTCTTATTGTTCCCCATAGCGGGACACTTGCTGTAGTGAAAATTTGACCAAATAATGGAATCTTCCAAGGTTCTTTTAACACTACGATATGTTTATATACATGTTGATAGTTTGATAATATGTCTAAGTTTAATGAACAGTGTATTTGTAACCCGTATACTATAGAAAGATGTCATAGTTGCTTTATATATGCCAGTACTTTAAAATTTTCAAATAATTATGAGACAACGGCTTTACGAGTAAAACTGCTCACGTAACACACATTTAATGAACCTATTACATTACCTAGCTATATAGGTTCAAGGAATTTGGCTAATTTGTAACTGTACGTTGCTGAAAGGATATATACATACGTGTGTGTATGTTTTCTGTGTATAGATATATATATCGATATAAACTAAATAAATATTGTCTTAGAAATTATCTAGCAATTATAATTGTTGCAAAATAGACAATTATATTGTGGAGCACGATAACCTTTTATATTTTTGTCATTGATGACTATAGAATTGTTATTATCGTTTACAATTCTATCAAAGCATATTTTACTGGCGGGACCGCTACTAATATCCAAAATTATACTTCTAATTACCCTTCAATGAATATTATAAAGATTGTTTTTTTTTTCAAACTGTAAGTGATATGGCCTATTTAATTAACAAAACAGTTTATGTTAATATAAATTGATATTTTTGTATAAAGACACGTATTTATAAAACATTTTCTGGACAGAAATGCAAGTATCGGGAAGACGATTTACCTCCTCCTCCGATGCCAGCCGAGTTCAAAGAGATATCTAATATAGATGGAATGAGCAGGGTTAAAGGAGATGTAGTTTCTGCTGGTTATGGCACAGACGTTTCTGACTCCCCCATGAAGGTAAGCTATTTTATGTACCTGGTATTAGACTGTATACCCCGTTTACACATACGTGAACAGTATGATGATAAGAAGGATGGGTTGGTAGATAGATTATTTCAGATACGTTTGAAATAACTGTTTAGCGAAGACGACTCACGCGTCATCTAGCGGCTGCTTTAATAGTACTTACCAAATCGCCTCTTTAACATCACACTTTATGAAATCTTCGGGAGTTTAAAGCTTACAATTAGCCGTGTTTCTTCTCTTTGATATCAGATCATCTTAATTGGTGAAATAATTTAATATTTGTTTACCGCTCATGCTTTATTATGTATTAGTTCAGATAAATGGCCAAATGTAATGGTAAAAGTTTTATGAAGTTTATTACTAGTAATATCAACGCCTGTGATATCATGACAGTCGAACATAATACAGGAAGAGATGTTGTATCCAGTCGCTTGTAATTATTTGTTGAAAACATTATTACATATTAGTTAGATTGAATATTTTTTACTGCAGCTGATAAAATACGCATCCATGTTCGTCAATCATGAAATACACCGAATACAAACAAGTGATACAAATTGTTGATACACAGGATTAGTACAGTACTGTATTTTAGTATGATACAAAGCTCATAATTACCGCGTATAGTAAACTTTGCAAACGCGTTAACTTCAAAAACTTAGGATACCGTTTCTTACCAGGATAGCTTTCGGGAATTATAAACATATGTTTTTTAGGCCATGTATATGGTGCAACATGACTCTCTTGTAGAACGTGGCAAAGTTTGCAACACATTTGACACATTTTTTTTTTGCTCTATATTTACTACATTTATTACATTCCTCTTGAGCCTGAAACATCAATGATGCTAGGACACTAACTATACAGGAATAACTACTGAAAAAGTTATATTCGCTGATATATGTTGATAACGCTTGTATTACCTTATTGAAATTTAATTATAATGATGTCTCTTGATAAAAACTTTTCATCGATGTGGTGAATTTCTGGGAAAGTAAAGTGCACGTGAAATTTTGGGAAGAAATATAGTAATGCTCATGATTTAAAACGAGGACAATTTATTGCAATCGATAATTACCTTGTTTCTTTAAAACGTAACCCAAAATTGGGCTCACTAAACCTATTAGCTGTTGTTCATATGAAAACGAGCCTATTATATATGTATCCATACATAGGCTCTTCATTTGGCAGAATGCTTGAGCAGCAGCAGCAGAAAAGCTACTTTCTATCAGATCTGCCGCTTGGAGCGCTGCGGTTAGCACAATTAAACTTATTTACTCAATAATATCAAACTAATTAAAATTCGAATAATTGTGATGAAAATTAATGTAGAATATGGAGACTGATAAAAAACTGTAATTCTGTTATATTAATTTAATAATACCTTTCATTATTCTCCTATGGGTCAGCAGTAAGTTTATAGACTTACAACGCTAAAATCCGGGGTTTGTTTCCTAGCGGTAGATATAGTGCAGATTTCCTAATGTATAGCTTTGCGCTAAAAAGCAAATAAACAATACTTTAATATAAGTTTAACATAACAGCAAATGTACAACGTTTCGACAAGGTTTGTTAAACTTATATTAAAGTTTTTCTTCATTACCTATTCAAGCCCTCTCCAAGCATTATTAGTCTCAAAATGGGTTCCTCGTCATTGAATTCGAAAATGAAGATAAACAATATTTTGATCTCGGGGAAATAGCTTTAGTGCAATAACACGGAATAATTACATATAAACTTGTTTAAGAAAAAAGATCTGCTTTGTAACACATCATGTACGTAAAATATTCAGTGGCGAAAAAAATAGGGATCTTTTGTCTTGACATTAAATATTAGAAACTTGGGAGTTTAACCTGACATTGTAACCAACGAAATTAAAAGGGAACTCCGCCTCTGACATATTTGTACATTATGCGACTGTTTTATGTCTGCTTATTTATATCTGTTTGCTAAAGAACATAATTATGTAATAATAGCCATAAAACGAGATAATAAATATGGGACTACTTTCTGTCGCGCGTTCCATGTTTACACCACACAGGTTGTGTAATGGCTCGTTATATACTCTTCTATTCCTCCGAGTATTAGTTTAGAAGCTAGTAGAAGGGATGTTGTTCATAAAATACAGAGGAAGGAATCAACAGAATTAAACTTAGAAATATATCTAACAGTACAACGTCTTTTATTGAACTGTGCAATGAATGAAAAAAATAAAAATGGTGTGTGTGTTTGAAACGGGCATAATTACCTCGAGCACACCTGAATTGGATGTCTTTTTTTTTTCTATACGTCATCAATAAAAGGCTTATTCAAGCAACGTAAAGAAAACAGTTGAATTTGGCTGCGGTTAAGAGCTTTATATTAAGTTTAATTAAAAATGCGAATCAGGTAAAACTCTGAAGTGTATTAGCAAAAAATAATAACGAAAACGAAGAGCCCTAATGATGACGTCAGCTACTCTTACACGCATTTGCCTCGATCGCTGTGCTGGATTATACATATATATAGTGAAATTGCTAAAGAGATAAGGCCACTGTTATAGAAATCCAATTCTTCCTGTTAAGATTTTATGCATGTGTGTGTCAAAAGACAGCGAGAGCGAATTAAAATAAAAGGCCGACCAACTGAGTTACATTCGAGAGGAGGCTGAAAATTGTTTGACTGTAAAGGCAGATATTAATAAAAAAAAAGAAAAGAGATGGTTTATGCAAGGTAATCAGGTGAGGTCAGTTACGCTAGTTATTTTTTGTGATGAAGGGCATTCATGCGACTGACTGAGAAAGAGGTGGTAAGCTGTACTTTGATAGATATCTATTACATATTGCCTACCAGTGGCACAGCGGACTTATAACGCTAGAAACCGGGTTTGGATACCTGCGGTGGGCAGGTCACAGAGAGCCTGTTGTGTAGCTTTGTGTTGAAGAATAAACAAACGTGCGTATCTTTCCCCGCGCATGGACGTCACAGCATAGAGGACGAATGGTGAAGACGAAGGTCTGTTTGTTGACTTTCGCCCAAAGCTACTCATGGGCTGTATGCACTATCCGTTCCTAATTTTAGGGAAGGCACCTAGTCAACACCATCAACCGCCAACTCTTGGGCTATTTTTGTTAGACCTAATAGTGGGATTTGACTACCACTTTTATAACACACCCACAGCTCCAAAATGTTGAGCGTAATTTATTTTATTTGGTGGTAAAGGAACTTGATTTGATGATTCTCAGATCCATAGGCCGGCACACTAATCACTGGCCCCTCAGCCCAGAAGATAAAGGGGGATGGCGGTCACCGGAATTCGCCGTTATATAAAGGAAACTATTTTTGATCCATTTAATGTTTTTAGTTGCTGTTTTCAACATCCGGTGTTCTCCTTTAATAATATGTTTCTAGAATTCACTTAAAAAAAAAGAATTAAGTTGTTTGTTTTTTCTAGAAGTATTTATGAAATTATGAGCTATAATTTATAAATCAGCGAAAATACACGAGATACTATTATACAGACTCCCTTTGGGTCAGCGGTACGTTACGAACTTGCATCGCTAAAATCTGGGGTTCGATTCTCCGCGGTAGCCAGAGCGCAAATAGCCTATTGTGTAGGTTTGCGCTGAAAAATACAAACACAAAATATAGTAGAAACTTAAAGAGAAAAACAACAGGTAATAATAATGAAACACCTTAATTGTGAAGGAAAAGAGCTATCAGAAATGTTCTCTTGTCACATAACGTGTACAATCACAAAAATGAAACAACAGGAACGGAAGATGAAAATAAAATGTTATTATTGATGTTTCATCTTTTCACGTGCTTCTGATGAAAAGTAACACACACACACATCAATAGCCGTGAAGAGAAAGGTATCTGTGTAAGTTGAAACCTTACTTGCAATATTTATGTAAATAGTTTTGAGTACTTATATGTTTTGTCGTTGTTCTTCTGTTACGTGAAGTTCAAAATGATTCATCCATATACCTGACTTGCCAAAATCTACTTCAGGATAATAGAACACCTATACTCTAACATTGGTTTTATTTATAATTGAAAAACTACGAAATGGTTACATCTCGTTATTTTACCTTAGCGGAAGTGACGCCAACGGAAGTCTGACTTGCCCAAACCTACTTTTGTCTACCATGAAGCATATGTACAATCACGCTTGTATACAGCAGTTCGGAGCTGTATACTATGATTTTCAAGTGAAAAATCGACTGATTTAACTCGTAAAACAGCGAAGAGATGGAGTGTTTAGTTTAACGAACCTTTACCTTCTGTGATTTTCCACACTCAGATTTGTTGGCTCGTTATGATCTCGGTCTGAATAGATTGTTTCATCCCCGACTAGTCAAATATCTCCAGGCTAAGCGTGTGACGCGTCGAGCTAAGAGGTGAATGCATTCGTACCTGTTGAGTTTAGTGTAAAAAGGAGGGAGTTCTGGGTGCTACAGATACGTCTCATCTACTTTTTTAGAAAGTGTTAAAAACGCATTCCTGTGGAACTTACATAAGTAGGAAATAACACTAATACTAATGGGAATACCTTTAAGTGCTACTGCTTCACCCCAGTCCCGGAACTCCAGACGTCTCGATCAACTGCTGTTTCATTCACACGTAAAACAAGCTTCTCCTAAACGTTGTGTTAAACACGCAGAAAAGGTATTGTTTTTCATTGTGTCTCCAGCTCCGTTTATGATAGTCGAACTTAGGAACCATTATCTGTCGGCAGTTTAGAACTCGAAATTGTGGTTCAGTTTTGTTTTACGGTTTTGTAGTTATAACTGAGATGCATGTCATATTGTGGTAATGTAGTGTTTTTATGATTGATATTGTAATTATCAATTTTCCAATACAAAGTTTTGACAATAAACGTATTTTAAAAATTATGTATGGAAATGTAAATGCTAGATTACAAACTTAAAAATTATATATATAGTTAAAATGCTGGGAGGAAAAAAATAATCCATTTTATTTTTTAACTCGCTGTTAGAAACAATGAA